GGAGGGGGGATGTGAACATGTGAGATGATACTTTTCCCCTTTTATCCCTTCCCTTCAATTTATTTCACCATAATTCTTTCCTCCTTTGAATGGCCCTCAATTCTTAAGTTGGGTTGCAAGTAGCATTTGCCATAATTTATATTTAATTTATCCTTTAAATTAAGACCTGGGACTGGTCATAGCTCAGTACAGTTTGTTTAGCCTGCATGAGGCCCTGGGATAGAGCCTCAGTACTTCCCACAAATCGAAGAGTATGTACTTAGCATGTGAAAGGCTCTCGCATCAGTCGTTAGCACTTCAAAAATAAATAAAATACAACAATAAAATATCAACTTAGGAAACTGATCCTGGCCTTTAGTGTTAAAGAAATGTGTGCTTACTTATTTTTCTTGTAAAACACGGAGCATGTGCTAGACTTAGCAATTAAGATAGCATCATAGTCATATATGGGCCATTAATCGTTCCTTATGCTGAGTTATCATTTCTTCTTGCTTCTTAAAGACACCAACTAGGGAAGCATGAAGATACTACTTTGAGCTATATTTGCTGCTAGTAAAAAGGGCAGTTCTTTTTCTAGGAAGATTCCCTCTGGGAATCATCATGTGTGGTGGCAAAAGAAATCTGCAATCTGGATAAATTACCTCTGTACGCCACCGAATAAGACCTGCAGGTTTTCCCTGTCTGCCACAGGGCCTTTACTCACGCTCCTACTTCTATCTTGAACCCTCCTCCTTGCTACCATCTGCCTCAGTTGTTCCACTAAGTTCAGTAACATCTGAAGCCAATCTGTCATGCTGTCAGGGAGATCTCTCCTGGCCTATTTGGAGCAAATTCCACAGAACTGAACAAACTCTTGGTGTTTTTTTTTTCCCCCTTAATGTTTAGTATCATTACAGCTCACAGTATCATTCATTTGTTTATCATTTTACAAAAATCAAGTGTCAGAAAAGCTGTCAGAAGAGGGCCTGACAAGTAAGTAGTAAGTGCTCAATTAAAAAAAAAAAAAAAAAGTGAAGAGCTGGAGAACTGGCAGCTCTTACAGAGGACTTAAGCTCGATTCCCAGCACCCACATGGTGGCTTACAACTGTTTGTGACTCCGGTTCCAGGGAATCTGGTGCCCTCTTCTGACCTCTGAGGACATTACATGGCACAGGTGCACTTACACACATGCAGGCAATATATTCATACACATAAAATAAATAAAATATGTTTTAAAACAAGTAATCGAGCCAGGTATGGTGGCATACACCTTTAGTCCAAGATGAGAATCCCTGTGAGTTTGAGGCCAGCCTGGTCTACATAATGAGTTCCAGGCCAGCTGGGGCTACAGGGAGACCCTGTCTCAAAAAGACAAAAGGAAAAAAAAAAAAAAAAGGAAATTGAAACACACACACAAGCATTTAATGGGCATCAGCTAGCAAAATACTGTCAGAAAATGCATAGACAAATGGTCCAAAGTCAGGCTAAAGAAAGAAGTGGAGTGTACCATCAGGGGACAGAACTTTAGTTTTTCATAAAGTAGTGAGCAAAAATGAATTGTTAGTACCGGTGCCAACATGGAGGAGCAAACCAGTATGGTCTCTCATCTCCAATAATTACAACTAAAAACCAAAAAAATAGACAAAAGCAGGCAGACTGAGGAAGAGTCAGAAGCCAAAGAGGCCACTCAATGCAGTGGCGAGTTTCCTATTTTGTTTTTACTGATCTAATTTCTCTCCTAGGGTGGCACCAAGGCTAAGCTGTGCAACAGCAACAAAAACCTCAGGGCAGATCCTGTCGTTCTACCGCAAAGAACCAAGAATGGTCCCTGGAAGCCACAGAGTGAGTGGGATCTCAATGAAAGGAAAAGAGTTTCTTAATGCTGTGTACAAACCTACACGAATCCCAGGCTTACTCCTTGGATGAACATGCCTGGAACTGACCCAAGGCAAGACAGCAAAGGTGTATGGCTAAGCAGCCTGACCCTTGTGGCTACAAACCTAGCACAAACAAAGGCAGCACACAAAGGCTCTGGGTACTAAACTGACACAAAAGACCCTGTGCCTAAAGATGACTGTGCTGGATGCTTTAGTGTCAACTTGACACACCTGGGTTGAGGGAGCCTCAACTGGGGAATTGCCTCTATTGGACTGGCCTGTGGCCATGTCTGAGGGGCATCTTCTTGATGAGTGATGTGGGAGGGCCCAGTCCACTGTGGGTGGTGCCATCCCTGGGCAGGTGGGCCTGTGTTGCATAAGAAAGCAGGCTGAGCAGGGGCCAGGGAAGCAAGCCACTAAGCAGTGTTCCTCCATGGCCTGTACTCGAGCTCCTGTCTCCAGGTTCCTGCCCCGAGTTCCTACTTTGGGCTCCCCGATGAACTGTGACCTGGGAGATATAAGATAAATAAACCCTTTCCTCCCCAAGTTGGTAGTGGTCAGAGTGTTTGTCACAGCAATGGAGAAACAAACTAGGACAATGACCCATAGCTTGTGACCCAAACCCAGCCAGGGCTTTTTGATTCCCTGCCAAAGCAACAGTCACCACAAAAGTCAGTGTTCTCCAGGTGGTTTTTAACATGATCTAGTCTCAAATACAATAATTAAAATGTCCATGTAGCATTGCAAAGAACCAGGGAAACATAACCAGCTCCCAGGGATAGATGCCATCATGTGATAACAACTGCCTGGTGGCCCAGACGTTGGAATTATCACACAAAGAATTTGAAAGCAGCTATCATAAGCATACATCTAATTAAGGGTAAATACTCTTGAAATAAATGAAAAACTGAACTGCTTGCTATATGAGATCTTCATGAGCCTCAACAGCAGCATGTGTACAGAAAACTTTTTTTAAAGGTGATGCGTGAAAGTTTGGGTTACACACAAAAGCCTGCTTAGCCAAGGACGCTTTTTCTTAAAGTTGTTTGGGAATGCATTAGCACTCTGAAAATGTAACCCATAACAAATTTAAACTTGAAGAAATCAGAGTTATCATTAATATTGGAAGGTGGGGTCGGGGGAGTAAGTTTTGTATGACCTAAGACTTAAAATATATAATACATTTTTACTTTTTTCAGACAGGGTCTCCCTACAGCCCCAGCTGGCCTGGAACTCAATATATAGACCAGGCTGGCCTGGATCTCACAGAGAACCGCCCACCTCTGCTGCCTGACTACTGGGATCAAAGGTGTGCGCTACCACACCTGGCTCATTTTTAAGTCACTGCATTTTTTTTCTCAGTACCACAAGAGACGACAGAGTTAGTTAACAGAAAGCCACCCAATGGTCAAAGTCCTGGGCAGAAAAACAAAGAAAAATAGCTCAGCAACTACAGAGAGTTGAGGGAGAAGCAGAGGAGGAAAGAAAACCAGATACAAAGGAATATGTAAATACCGCATCCGTTAGGACCACAGAGATCTTAATATTCTTATGATTTCGATTGTCTAGTTCCCTAACAACAGGTTTCCATAGGGTTCCTAGTAGACAGTAGAATGTTCCACCCCACTATGGAACAGGAGAGCTCCACATGACCAAAAGGCAGCTAGTAGGTTGACTAGCCCCAGCTTGCCCTAGCCAGGAGTAACTAATCAAAAGCATGACCCTACCATTAAAACCAAAGATGTCTAGAACAAAACTCCGCTTACACATTCATGAAAACTTACTTTGGATACACACATCTCAAACACAGTCTTGAGCCAGTTAAAATTTCCTATGAAAATATTAGTATTTCCCACACATATATACATGAAATTCTGTGAAAGAATGCTAGAGCAGTTACTGTGGATACAGAGCTTACAGGTCACTTTAATTTTCACAATACTTGTCTCTGGAGTGGGGGAGGCAGGGGCATGTGCTGGGGGTTGGACCCAGGGCCTTCTACAAACCAGGCAAATACTCTACCACTGAGCTACACATCCCCAACCCCACGATTAAATTTTTAAAGATCTACTTCATTTTACTTGTGTGTATGTGTGTATCTCTGTGTATATACACGCACACATGCATGCAGGTATCAGGAGGCCAGCCACAAGATGGTGTCAGATCTCCTGGGACTAGAGTTACAGGTGGTTGTGAATCACTAAAAATGAGTTCTGGGAACCAAACTCTGGTCCTCTGAAAGAGCAGGAAGCACTCTTAAGTACTGAAGCATCACTCTAGCCCTGCATAATTCATATATATATATATTGGTCCTTTTGAGACAGGGTCTCCCTGTAGCCCCAGCTGTCCTGGATTCACTATGGAGACCAGGCTGGCCTCGAACTCACAGAGATCTGCCTGCCTCTGCCTCCCGAGTGCTGGGATTAAAGGCGTGCGGGAAAGACAGATAAATGAAACATATTAACAAGTTTTAAGTCACTGAATTTTTTTTCCTTTTCAATTGAAGAGAGTGAGGATGTCACACTACGCAGACAGTGACAACAAAATGTAAACTCCGAACAGATGGTGTAGGGAAATTACCTAAGATAAGGAAAACACTATCTAGCAGAGTCTATCACTGTCTCTTTCTGTTCCAAAGGCACTTTGACCTCCATACATTATATCTGTGGTAGGGTTACATGTCTCTAGGCATTTCTTCCTCATTTTACTGTAATAGTCCTATGTCAGTGGTCATGCCTCATTTGTCCTGGTATATGTAACAGACATTTTGGTCCTGTTCATCGCTGAGATGGCCCTATGGCAAGGGCACTTCAAAAATCTACACAACACTGAATCCCAAGGTCTACAATTCATATTACATGAATCAGAATCATATCAAAGTCAAAAGTTTAACTGTAGTACAGGCCAGGCTTCTCGCTGCTGAAGAGGCAGTGTGAAATCCAACCATACGCTATGTAATGATGGGTGCAAGCTACAAGTATTAATATCCATTTCCACTCCCCTGTGGTATTTAAAATTTTATTAAAATAAATGTAATGATCACTCTTCTGTGACTGGAAAACAGACCTCTGAATCTGGAGGGGAAAGGATGAAATGTATTTATTTCAAAGTTAAATTTGAAGTGAAAATCACAAGACAACAGATTGCAAATTTAAAATTAGATTCTAGTGGGAGGTCTTGGTTTCAAGCCTGTTTTTCCTCTACTGGAAGCTGCAATTGCAGACAGTGGGGGGAAAGAGCTAAGATTAAACTGAGATGAAGCTCTCAAAGTTTTTTGCTAAATCGTTACAACCCATGGAAAGAGTTTTGCCAAGTCACACACAAACACCCCTAACCCAAAAGATTAAACAAGTTTTATAACAAATAAAAGATGACCTTTGATTTAGAAAAGATTATTATTATCTTTGCTTTTTAAAGATCATCCACAGCAGAAACAAAATATATCATTGTTTTGAGGTTGGGTTGGGGAGCCTGGTTTGGTTTTTTTCCCCTAAACATAATCCAATATAAAAGACGGTGAAGTTCAGGAGTAAAAGATCCTGAGGGCAATTCATAGGCACAGAAAAGACTTCATAGGTTCCTACCTGCTCTTTCTGTTTTGTTTTGTTTTAATGTTAAGCCTTTCAATTGTTAGATGGGTGTGACTCTAATCCACAAAAGTGACTCCAGTTCTTTTTCCCACCAGCTATATAGAGTAAGCAATTTCAATAACTACAGTCCAATTTCTCTGCCCCAGCAGCTTTGAAGCAGTTCCATTCATTCACAGACACACAGAGACACCAATCTCCATGCACAAACCTACCTTAAAAGGCAACAGTGGTCCCCAGCCCAACTGGCCCCAAGAGCTCTGTGGCATTTAGATACTGAGGCTGGCGATGTCAGTGGCTGGGGTTGAGGCGTGTGTCAGCACCTGCCCACAGGGTACCCATGAGGGTCTCACCTGAGTCTGAGAGAGTATGCCAAAAACCTGGAAGAGATAGAAAAATAGGAATGATCAGCAGAAAAAAGGAAATGGCCATGTTCATCAATTCTCCAATATCAATTTTATATGAAATAGGATACCCTTGAGTCAAAGGATGCTGCATTTAGCTACAGGTCGACTGGCAGGCTTAGTCAGGGAGATTCACAAATGTTGGCATATTTAGGTTGACAGTTACAAATAGCCCTGCAAACTTTCATTTTAACTTGCCTCTGTGGGTGGAGGCATTGGGTACAAGAAGCTGGTTACTACAGACTAGCTTTTCCTGTCTTCTCTTAATAGTCAAAGGGTTTCAGTAAACAGAAAGGGAAGACAGGAAGCCTCGATTATTCTCAAAGAAATGCTGCACTGATAATGAGTCTTGCAGAAATTGATAAGATAGGGAAAAGCCACAACTTGAATCCATAAAATTTCTCCTCCTATGAACATTTTTATAAGCAGCAAACATTACACTCAAGAGAAAACTCATGAAGAAAATACACGGGAAAGTATTTAGGGAAATTGTGCAAATTGTTATTTAGCAAAGGAAATGTATTGACACACACAACGCCAAGGGGGGTGGATTAAAACTCTCTTTCTCTTCTATTTTTTTGAAAAGTTGCTTTTCTGAGGTGAAATTGCACATGTTAGGATCAACCAAAAAAAAGGCCTGTAGGGTGTCTTTGAGTGGTTTATTTTCTGGCTTTCCAACTGGACATTCCTCCATGGGCTGCCCTGCTGTGGCCACCCACTACTGGTGGTTTCTGCAAGCCAAGGAACCTGAGGTGGCAAATACTCAGAGCAGGAACAGAGAATTGCCCAGTGTGTGCAAAGGAACCACACAGAGGCAGTAAGTAAATAAATATATACATCCACACAGAACAGAACAGGAAGTTTCAGTTCTCCCTTATCTTGGAAAATGAGCTGTTTAACCACGACACTGGTGACTCAAGTTTGCACGAGAAGGAGTTCTAGCAACACCCCGTTATTAACCCACAGTACATGCCCTTTCCGAGACTGTCCCACTGCCATCCCGCTCCTTTCCTCTTCCTAGGCCCGCCCCTTCCACTGCTCTGCAGATTTCCAAATTTTCAAAGCAGTTCCTGAATTGCTGAGGAACTGGCAGAAATTAATAAGCAACAGCCCATTTATATTGAAATGGACTCATTACGGTACCAGCTGCCAATAATTTGCAAGGCTGGATCCTCGCCGGCAGAGGGGCCTGCAGGCGGCTGTCCCTCCACCTGCAGCGCGGAGGCTGATAATGCAGTTTTTAGACTTACAAACAAATTGCCCTATCCACCAGAATTAACATGTTTTCTATCTATATTCTTCTAGTCCTGGAACAAAAGAACTAGTTGAGGAAGAAGATAAAAGTGCAGGGCATCCTTCCCAAAGCACAAAGCAAGCAACACTAAGCGGTTTCCTATGATTCTTTTTCTGGGTTTGGTAGGAAAAAAAAAAGTTTACCCGCAACCTTGCCTGTGGAATTGAAACACGAGTTGGCCTAATGAAGAGCCCACATTTGTTCTTCTGTAATCAGCAGATATGCTAAGATCGCAATGTGCCAACAAGTACCCACTGTGCCTGCCATAAGCTAATGCCAGCATGACCTTGTGAATGTGTGCCACGGTGCCTGGAGAACTGTCAGTACTGTGGGCTTTCTATGAGAACCATAGAAATCAAGATCACCGGGAGGCAGCTATGTAACAAGCTCAGGGTGGGAGTTTGAGCCTAGAGAGCTGCACGCATTCAGGCACAACTTGGCTTTGCAAGTCAAATCTTTACTTGAAAATGATTGGGGTAAATTATTGGTCCACTCCTCTAAAGATGGGGATAATAATAGTTCCAAACTATTGGGTTGCTCTGAACATTAAATGAGATCATCTATCAGCAGTTCTCTTAAATGTTAGCCCTTCCTCCCACTATTTAACATTTGTAAACCCTAAGTAAGGGGCATGCTATGAAACGGGCCACTATTACAGGGGCTAGCATACACGACACTTAATTCATTGCTAAATGAAATCTATCCCTTTACATTTGTTATGGAACAATCTGGGGCATGAATGAACCCGGCTGGAAGAAGGGGTCTAGTCAGTTTGCCGAAGCTCCCGGGTACACACACAAGCCAAGCTGAGGAAATCCAGCAGTACCTGTCTACCTGCTTTTGCTACACGAAGACTCTCCCACTGAAGTTCACTCTGAATACAATCTCACCATGATTCACCCTCATCTCAGGAGTAATTTCCATGCCAGGAGTCAAATGACCACTTTTCACAGAGGGTAGGGATGGTATTATCTCAGCCTGCAGAAGTAGACGAGACCTAAAGGGTGACTGAAGATGAAGGCGACCTGTGAGAAGCACTGTGCTCCATGGCTTTTCCTAAAATGCCTGCTGAGGCAGGATCTTCTTCACTTCCAAAGCACTCCTAATGGGGCTGGAGAGATGGCCCAGTGGTTAAGAGCACTGGCTGCTCTTGCAGAGGACTCAGGTTCAGTTCCCAGCACCCACATGGCAGCTCAAGAACCAAGATGTCTAGAGAAAAGGGTATTGTGCTTGCTTTCAAAATACTCAGGTTCAGTTACCAATCTCTATTACTTACTCAATTACATGACCTTGAGCTAGTAAGTCACCCATCTGAAAAGTCTGAAAAACGCCTGGAAAAACCGGGATTTAATAGGATCTGCCCTCCCAACACCTACCTGAAAGAAATTAGAGAGGCAACACGAAAAGCCATAAAAATTTACACAAATATGCTAATTCTTTGCCCTTTTTTTAAGGGTCCAAGTTCTATAATAATAAATTAATGAAAATCAGGATGTTTTCTTTTATCCAGATCAGTGGGGAGAAGGAAGGGAGGTCTGTGTCAAAATCCTGAACATTTATTTTGTATGTAATAACCATCATGAAGATTTGATTTTTAGTATTGAAGATTTGATTTTTAGTATTGATACTAGCTCCCAAATCAGAACTAACTGGATTAGATAGATGAATGGATGAACCCACAGCATTTGAATTTTTTTAATGATTTAAAAAATTAATATTAATGAAATTTCACTGGATGTTTTAAAGCCGTTGCTTTAAGACTTGGAGGGATTTCCATGCATACATAATTTAAAATAGAATTTAAAAAATTACTGTTGAATAAAGAAACACAATGGAGGCTGGAGAGATGGCTCCGTGGTTAAAAGCACTGACTGCTCTTGCAGAGGACCCGGGTTCAGTTCCCAGCACCCACATGGTGTCTAATAACCATCTATAACTCCAGTTCCAGGGGATCTGAGGCCCTCTTCTGACCTCCACAGGCATTGCATGACCCGGGTGCACTTACATACATGCAAGCATTATACTCATATACATAAAATAAAAATAAATAAATAAAATATCTTTTTAAAAGACAATGATGAAGACAAAGTCAAGGTGGGGAATGTGGGTAACAGTACTCACCTACTGAGCTACACACCTAGTTCAATTTAACAGTTAGCTGCCAACCACAGTGACAGCCAACTCAAATAGGAGCAGCATGGCAGCTATAAAACTCATCAGTGTCCAAACCCATCCTCAGAAGGACAGATGTCCTGGGCACTAAGAACCAACAGGAATTTCCAATGACATTTGTTGAGTAATATTCTGAATTCCATCTTTCCTTGTGGATTCAGGGACAAATTTCATATAGATATTCTTTACGAAAAAAACAAAAAACCTTCAATTCTGTAACAGCAAATTGGAGAGGTTAAAAACTGTTGAAGGATGGATACGCTGCCACTGCCTGGGAGCCGCACAGGGTTTGCCTTTAACTATGACTGAGGGGTAGAGAGCTGGAGGTCAGGCATTCAGGTCCTGACCAACGACCTTACTCAGCAGGTATAAACAAGTTTCACCAAGGCTTGTCTGTTTTTTGTGAAAGCTCAGTCTGCAGTGAGGATTCACACATAAGGATGGGCACTCATCTTCCCTCTAAGGTGAACCACATGTCCACTGAGGACTCTAGGGCAAGACTAGGAGTCTTAGCACAAAATCAATCCCTCAGCACAGATGAATGAGCCATGACAGGGATTCCAAACTCCCATTCCATAAAACATGAATGAAATCATTTCAGCCCAACCAGTTTTTTAAGGCAAGTATAAACAGATACTCTAATCAGTCAAATAAAAATCCCCAAAAGTTTCCACATCCACCCCATTGCCCTAGTTTTGAGCAACGCTGCTTCCTAATATATCCAAACATATTCCAAGGTAACTAAGCAAGAAACAGACTCATAGACTCCATGCTTTCAAGCTGCCTTTAAGTTAGGAGCCATCTACTAAAATAATAACTTTAATTTTGGAGCAATGAATCTTTGGCAATACTGAACCAACAAGTTCAGTTGGGACAGGCATTACCACACTTTTCATGAGTAAAGAAAGTATAATTCAAACTGAAGTCATCTGTCCTACCCCAACACGGGCAGAGCTGCCATTTATGGGAAGCTTACTCTGCTTTGCACTTGCGTTAATGGCTTTGGGCCAAAAGACTCAGAATCTTAAGTTTCCTGAAGTTCTTCGTGTGTATCATTAAGACTCAGAATCTTAAGTTTCCTGAAGTTCTTCGTGTGTATCATCTCAGGCACCTCCAGCTGGAAACCGCCAAGGCCCTGCAGCATTACCACTGACTGCAAAGCCTGCTACTGGTGTCATTCGAGGAAACTGGAAAACCACTGGTCTCAAAGGGCTCTGCTCCACAGCTGGCCATCAGATCTCCCAAATACCCACACAGTCTGATGCTAAGAATGACCCCAATGAGGGAGGCCCAGTTTGCTGCAATGGATTTAATCACCATTTCAGGACACACCATGAGAAAACTCCAAGCAGTATCTCTGTCATTTCTAAAAGTTACAAAGCCACTGACCACTTGAGAATTCCTCCCAACATTCCAAACGTACTGACCCTGTGAGGCTAGAGCACAGTTTTGGGTTCTCAGCTCTTGACACTGTCAATTACAAGTGTGAGTTGCATCAAAAAGCACACCC